TAATACACTTGGGATGTGAGTGATTCAAGTAAGATGGTGTCTGGTCCATTAAAGTGATAGGTTCTTTTTGGGAATGAATACATTTTTCCTGTTCACTGAAACTTGAGATTATTACTTGGCCTTATGGTGTGAGTTTCATAAAATTTAGATTAATTGTCTACTTGTTTTGTTTCTGCAGTACCATTGGCAACAAGTTAAATTACAAATAAAAATGACATTAAATTTTATTATATTATGCTTGTATTGTGTCATCTTAATATAAAAGTTCAGGCCAATGAGTTTATAAAGTTTTATTTGCATACTTGCAAAGCCGTGCTGTAGATCTGGAAATGATGTGTATGGCTGAACTCGTACAAGTGGGTCTCATATACAGGGAAGCTTCTGTATAATATCTGGAGCTCCTTTTGTTAGTTTTTTATTCTCAATAGACGACACCTTACAACATGCATAATATTACCAAAATGTAGAATTGTAGATGATTGGGAACACTTGTGGTAGCCCTCTTGTTCATCATCATGATTTCTGGCTTGCCATGAATCTTTTGTTGCAGTCCTGTTAGAGATTTTTGTTGAACTAAATAGAAAACCTAAGAATAATTCCTTCCAAGGTTAGCAACTTAATTAAATAATGCCAATTTCCCATCCCCTACCAACATCTTTTGCCAGTTTCCTTACCATAATGGCATGTTTGGTTGGAGAATTGTATAGTATTCGATAGTCTTTAGGAACAAAACTAAAAAGAAAAACTAAAATCTTATTTATTGGTCCATTCCTATGTAATATTGTAGCAAGCATGTTATAATTGGATAATCACAATGAGTCATTTAGCATCTCTATGAGGTCTTTCAAAGTGCTTTCATGTATGCGAATGATTTCTGCTCTAGGTATCTACCCGAAATTTCTCGAGTATGATGAGCTTTTTACAATCATAAATTTTTATGCCTGTCACTCGTACTATTAAGCCTTTGTTTGTTTCAGAAGTAAATTTACGTTTAAGTCAAAAGTCAATATTTAATTTTAACCACACATTTTATGGACCCACTACTTTTTAACCACATATTCCATCAACGTTTATCAAACTCTGTTAAAAATCTGATTTTTAGCTAAACCAAACAGGGGCTAAATATGATTTGCTAGTGTAATTTTTCATTTTTTTTTTTTGGATGACTGGCACTACATTTCTTTCCCTCTGTGAATTCTCTTGTTGTGTATTCTACAATATGGCCATTTCCATAATTTCTCTTGTAAGAGAGGTCAGAGGTTCTTGCGCCATCTATTATATAATTATGAAGTGTTCTCTTGTAAATGATGTTGATAAATTTTTATTCCAAACTTATATCTAATCAAGACTGTCAAATATACAGCTTAAGGTTTTTGAGGATTTTGAGCTTCCTTCGCACAAGACAAAGAACATTGTGAATCATGTCAGTCAGATGGAGAATACCAAGAAACTTCTGATGGTTGATGGTGGTCTAATTGATGAAAAGCTAAAGCTGGCAACTCAAAATCTACATTATGTGAACGTTCTGCCTTCGATTGTAAGTCCCAAAACTCATTCTTGTAGGCCATGTCCCATGTTTGTAGGCTTGGCTCTTTTTGCTTTCCCTTTCCATTCTTGCATCACTTGGTGGCAATCGGAGGGTCTGACACTGTCCTGACTCATGGTGGTATAGTATGATAATCCATTAATATGTGATGGATAAATTAAAGTTCTCTGCATTTTATCATAATTGTCAGTAAATACAAGAGGCCTCAGTTATGAATTTAGATGATATAACCAGATCGTGCCTGCCTTTTCAGCAATTAAAAATTGCAAAATCTTAAATATTTCGTTTTAATATATTTGTGGTGTTGTATCCATGGTTTTTCTGACATTATTCACTCGAAACTGTTCTTACTGTGTTTTCCTTTTCATCACTGCTCTTGTAAACATCGTCCTTCCACACTGATTGGCGGCAGTGGCATATTTTATCGTTTATCAGCATGTAACATGTTCGAATCATGTGATGAATCTTCCACTACCTATTTACTTGATTTTCTTGATCAACATATTTTTCTCCTTTCAATGCCTAATTTGATATGTGATCGAATCCTATGTGCAGGGTTTAAACGTTTACAGCATTTTGCTGCATGACACACTCGTAATGTCTCGTGATGCTGTAAATAGAATAGTTGAAAGGATGCATACTCCTATCAACCGCTAATGTAACTTCTGCAGGTTGAAATGAGTGAACATTTTGGGAGTTCATTTTGGAAGATTCTAGACGCACACAATAATTTCATGTATTTGTTGTTATCTTCAGAAACCTTGCAGATGACAGTTAATTTAGTTATTGATTATCTGATTTTACCATGTATCTTAATTTGTAACAATTTGACCATTTAGAATTTGCACTAGATTTGTTTGCAGAACCTGAATTCGAGATTTTTTTTGGAAAGCCTTGATCAGCCCCATTTTTTGTTTTTTCTGGAAAGGAGTTTTTTCTGGTATCTCAAAAGCTCATTTCATGATAATAACAGTAAAATTGGCTGCTTGAAATGAAGAGTAATAGTATTTATCTATAGTGATGATAATTATGAGTCTATATGGCAGTTGAGATCCTTGTTACATTGTCTAATAAAAAAAATACATTTCAACATCATTGGACAATGAGTCATTGGTATTACATCTTCATTAGATAACGAGACCGGTATTAATGTTTGGGGTTATCAAAGGATGAATCTTGTTAACAGAAGTAGCTTGGTTAGTTAATATTTTATTTTTACAACGTTTTTCCCTTAATACGTTTTCGCAAGATGGTGATTTGTTGGAATATATCAGTCATGCAATTCGATTGCTTGTTTGATCTTTAGATGGACTAAGTTACCCGTTCAAATTTAATGCGTTTTGATGCTATAATAAGACTTGAGTACCTATCTTAAAATATCAATTTTGTTAAGATTAGTAACTGTTACTCATATGTTACTTCATATTTTTTTATTTATTCAATGTAAATTTATCACTTAAACTTGAGATTATCTTAAAATGCAACTTGCTAAGATGATAGTCCAAGCTTTTACGCATGTTTTTTTTATTTTTATATTTAACATATTCCCAGATGGTAGTTAATTTGAGTAAACAAATCTCGAATTATTTGTGCTCATTTGAGGCTTAATATGATTGAGTTGCTTGTTAGAATTTATTGTGCTCTAATACGTACTTATTACAATTGACAAGAAATTTTTACTGTTAATAAAGACAACCTTTTGTTGTAAGAAGTCATTTTTGAGTTGTTCGGTCAAAAAAGTGCATCAAGGATGTTTTCAGAAGGTTAAAAGTTTTTGTCGTTAAAAGTCAAATTTCTTTTAATATCAAAAATTTTTAACCACGCATTCTCTAAAAATCTATTTTCACTTGTAAAGTCTCTCCTAAACTAGTACTAAATTTAAATTACAATTTATCTAAATAATTAATCATTAATAATCCGAGCCGACCATATCAATATCTTTAATGAATAATAAAATACTATATGTATATATTTTTGTTCAGTAAACTAGAAAATAAACAAATGATATTCGTTGGATTAAAAACATATGTGAAGGATTTTATTTGTAGTAATTATGGAAGTAACCCCTATCTTATGAACAAAATGATGTAACACAACTTATAAATTTAGAAAAATATATGAAATAAAAAGTCATTATAAATTGAACGAACTTAATTAGGCAAATATCACCACAAAACATGATTGAATTGAAAGGGACACAACTTCCGAAACTTGACCTGTCTTTAATTGAATCTTTAGACATCCGTTATGCAATTAACTTTTAAGAAACTGGAATTTTTGTAAAGTCACAGACACGCACGCACGCATATATAGACAGAGACACTGAAAAATGTAAATGGCCTATTTCGAATATTCACTTTCAGAAGCTGTCCTTTTCACTGTTTAAAAATGAAAAATCAGTGTTCTTAAAAATGTAAAATATGTTTAGACACGAAGGTCAAGCTTCAACCTTTACTAACCTAGGCAAGGTCTAGGCATAAAAAAAGTTTTCTTATTTTTAATATTTATTGGCCGTTAACTTATATGAATTCATGTTGATTAGTCCTGGTTTCGTTTGAATTTTGCTTGGTTTTTGTTTATTTTATGGACGACTTGAGGATATGACAGGAATAGAGAATTTTGAGGTGAAAAGAGGAGCTAAAGATAGAACTTGATGATTTGATATAATGAGAATGAATGGAATGAGGATTAAGAACAAAGATTAGGCATGAAAAAGACAAAATCCATCACCAAGTAGCACTTGCTTGGGAGCCAAAACACCTAAGTCGCAAAGACAACTCAAAATCAGACCAAATACTTTGCAAGTCACGCCTGGTCGCAGATGTCGCTCGCGGTTGAGAGCCTGTTTGAAGTGCATTCCGTCAGTGATCTGCATTCAATGGAACCCGGGGCAATTTACACACACTAGGTCAAAACTAGGAGACATTATTCTTGAGTGTTAGAACAAAGAACAATCAATTTCTTTCAGGCTAAAACAACACTAACTGGGGTTCTCTTGGAATTCAAGCAAGAGGAAGAGGGAGGGGATTGAAGATTCTTCAAAGCGATGACACGAAGACTCAACTTTCGTCTACAGTTTTCTTTCATTTTAATCAATTCCGGGTGATGTATGAGAGAAACTTATTGCCTATTTTTACATAGGGAATCAGCCACAGAGAGACAGAAGAAGCCAGAAGGAATGCTGACAATTGATCTCTCTTCAATTGTTAGGTGCAGATAGTCTTCACAACGCTTGACGAATGTGTATAAAACACAAAGTCAAAAGTTGAGATAAGACATCTCTTGTAATTTATGTTTCTTCACAGAGTCATTTATAAAGATAAATTAATATTTTCCATATAATTTATCTTTATGACACAGTTTTTCCATTTTTAATAACATTATTTGGTTTTAACAATTCAAATTACACAAAGTTGCATGCAGTTACAAGAATTATCACTCATCAATCATAAAACTAGTCAATATAGGGCCGTTGAGCCACCACAAACGGACTACGTACTGTGTGCTTTTCATTTTCCTCAACCCAAGTGATTGATCCATGATTATTCGGCTTATGAGTCTTAAAACGTATGGTCACTGAATAGCTCTTCTTCTCATACTTCTTTTGGAACACCAATGTTTCTGGAAATACCGTGATAATGGAATCCTTCGTTTTTTTAACTTTAACTTTATATGTTGCAGCGCCATCCCCAACATTTGTAACAGTCCTCCGGAATTTCTGAGTTAATTTACTTCTTGTTTCTTCAGGATCATACACAGCAATGAACGATGGGTAATTCAGATCAGATGATGGATTTGAGCAATTGTAGCTTGATCTTATGATTGATTGAGTTTGTTCGCGAGTAAAATTCATGGAACAAACAAGATTTACATAGTCGAGTGGGGTGGCATTGTAAATGAGACCTGGGTCAAGAGCACGATTTGGATCAACTTGTCCTGCCCCCATGTCAGTTGGTGTAGCATCTAAATTATTGTTGCCTGTGTCTTTGATGGGTTTTTGAGTATTATCAAGTGGATTTGCGGTGGTCATCATGGCAGATCTAATAGCTGAAGGACTCCAGTCGGGATGCGCAGCTTTTATAAGCGCAGCAATTCCAGATATATGAGGACAAGCCATTGATGTACCTGACAACAGCGTGTAGTCACTGGCCAACAATGTATCCTTACCAATGCGTGCTGCAATACTATAAGGATCATAGGCTGCTAAGATTAACACTCCTGGTGCCATTATGTCAGGCTTTAGGATGTCTGGATAGCTTCGTGCAGGACCTCTTGATGAGGATTTCGATAGTGCTGGAGCAGCTATGGGCTCTGCTTCCAAGATTGTTTTCTGGAACTCGATGCTTGCTTGTGGGTCAGCACTGTTAGATGCATAATTGATCACATCTTTTGCATCTCGAGAGGTAATTACTACTCCAGGGTAAGGAAAAGAATGAGAATGAAGTATGCTAGGATCTTCATTAATGATTATAGCTGCACGAACCTTGGACTCTAAGAGATGCTGCCATAAGAATTCGAAGCCAATTGTTTCATCAGATTGATTACATATGATGATACCATCTCTAGGAGCTTCAGAAATTAATTCAGTTGAATTGCAGGCAGATAAGTTCTCATTGTAAGTGAGAATCAAGTTTCTGACTGTGGCTCTAGCAGGAAACAAGCTCCATCCGGTGATTGACAAACCATTCCCTAGAGTTATGGTCCCAGCAAACCAACGATCAACAGTTCCTGAGGCCACTAGCACTGCCCAAGGGATTCCTTTGATTAAAGTTGCAAAATTTGGACCACGGTTTCCTGCAGAAGTAGAAACAAGGATTCCCTTCTCTGTGGCTCCGAAGGTAGCTATGGCAATAGGATCCTCGTACAAATAAGTCCTACGGTTACTCAGAGAAAGTGACAGTATATCAACTCCATCAGCCACAGCCTGGTCAATACCTGCAAGAACATCAGATTCAAGGTTTCCTTCATTCCAGAGGACTTTATATGCTGCAAGCCTAGCACGTGGAGCCACTCCTCTCGCTGTTCCTGCAGCGTAGCCAAAGAATGAAATTCCGTCAACGTAGTTTCCAGCAGCAGTGGACGCCACGTGGGTGCCGTGACCGGAATCGTCCCTTGCAGAATCCATCGTCATTGTAACTCCGGTATTTGCTTCCCGAACTCCCTTACTGAAGTATCTTGCTCCTATGAGTTTCTTGTTACACAATGTAGAATTGAACCCTTCACCTCCCTGGCAAATTCCCTTCCATCTTGCAGGAACTTCAGTCATTCCATCATCCTTAAAGCTGGGACTTTCTGGCCATATGCCACTGTCAATAACCCCAATAATCACATCTTTACCATACTCAGATGCTGGCCATATACCTGTGGCAGTATTCAGAGAAAGAAACTTGTAAGTACGGGTGGTGTCCGGTGTGACAACATCATCGGGATAAGCCGAAAGGAAGCCCAGTGACTTCTTCAAAGCTCCCAATTCATCTTTGGACATTACTGCACTGAATCCATGAAATGCATGATCATACGTATAGACAAGCTTCGGTGAAGGATTATGAGCTCCTAATGAGGTTAGTTCAACTGATTTAATGGATTGAAGAGTGGAAGAGTACCAATAATGGTGACTGGAAAAAGCCTTAGGCATCAAAGATTTGTCCATGTGGACAATATAAGTAGATCTTTCTGCTGAAGCCAGAAAAAACCATGAGAAGAGGAGGACTAGGAAGGCCTCAATCAGCCCCATTTTTCTTTTACTGAGAACAAGTTCTTTGGTACCTCGGAAGCTGATTTTATGCTGACAACAGTCAAATTGGTAAGGAAAATTTGTGTCATTGGTCTATATAAATTGAGGTTGAGTACGACATGTCCTTGAGTCAATAATGTTACCAAGTTGCAAGTGTGGGGCAAAAATATTAACTGCAAATATTTAAGTTTGAGGGAAAAAGAAAAACACTGCTTTAATGCTTTGATACTTGGTAGGTGTATTATCATCATAAAATTATTTGAATTTTTACACCGTTACATATTGGCTTGTGTATTCCTTTGGATTCAGGCTTGTACATTGTTGATATTTGTCTAACTTTACAACTTTTTATTTTAAATATATTTTTGCTAAATTTGTAAGTTAATTCTTTGGTAATACAGAGGGGTCAATCTTTAAAACTTTGAATTTGAAGAGCAATTTAATTTTAGAACAGAAACAAAACCAAGATTACTTGCATTCTTAGACTACACAATTTTTCTGTAAAATTCAAAGGTAAAATGAAGATATTTAGATAGCCAAGGATAATCCATGAAGATTTTATTTAACCATATCCTGTTTTCTTTAATAGAATTATTAGGTTTAAGAATTATAACAGGATTATGTGAAACTAGAGTGATCACTTGAAATCATCATAAAAACTAGTCGTTAAAGACCCGTTGAGTCACCACAATGGGACTCCTCACCGTGTGCTTGCCATTGTCTTCAACCCAAGTGATCGAACCATCATTAGTAACAGTCCTACTGTAACTCCTATAACGCATGCTCACAGAATAGCTTTGCTTCTCATACTTCTTTCGGAAGACTAATGTTTCTGGCGATACTGTGATTGTAGAATCCTTTGGCCTTTTAACCTTAACTTTATAAGTCGCAGCACCATCCATTACATTTGTGACTGTCCTGCGGAATTTTTGATTTAATGTACTTCTTGTTTCTTCAACATCATAAAGAGCGATGAAGGATGGATAATTCAGATCCAAGGATGACTTTGAGCAATTGTATCTTGATCGTATGATAGTTTGAGTTTGTTCTCGAGTGAAATTTAATGCACACACAAAATTTACATAGTCTTGTGGGGTAGCATCGTAAATGAGTCCTGGATCAAGGGCGCGATTTGGATCAACTTGCCCTGCCCCCATATCGAGTGGTGTAGCAACTTCATAATTGTTGCCCATGTCTTTGATGGGTTTTTGAGTATTATCAAGTGGATTTGCAGTGGTCATCATGGCGGATCGAATAGCTGCAGGACTCCAATCGGAATGTGCAGCTTTGAGGAGGGCAGCAATTCCAGAGATATGTGGACAAGACATCGATGTACCTGACAAGAGTGTGTAGTTACTAGCCAAGAATATATTGTTACCAATACTTGCTTCAGAAGCGTAAGGATTATAGGCTGCTAAGATTAACACTCCTGGTGCCATTATGTCGGGCTTCAAAATGCCTGGATAGCTTCTTGAAGGACCTCTTGATGAGGATGCTGATACAGCTGGAGCAGGTCTGGGCTCTGTTCCCAGGATTGTTTGTTGGAACTCGATGCTTGCTCGAGGGTCGGTACTATTAGATGCGTAATTGATAACGTCTTTTGCATCTTTGGGGCTAATTACGACTCCAGGGTAAGGAAAAGAAGCAGATCGAAGTATACCAGTATCTTCAGAAATAATGATAGCAGCACGAACATTAGAGTCTGAGAGATACCTCCATAGGGAAAAGAATTCTGTTGTTTCATCAGATTGGTTACATACAATGATGCCACCTTCAGGAGCTTCTGACAATAGTTCAGATGAATTGCAAGCAGATAATGTCTCATTGTAAGTGAGAACCAAGTTTCTAACTGTGGCTCTAGCAGGAAACAAGCTCCATCCAGTTATGGACAAGCCATTCCCTAGAGTCAAGGTCCCGGCAAACCAGCGATCAACAGTTCCTGATGCGACCACAACTGCCCAGGGGATTCCCTCAAGTAAAGTTGCAAAATCTGGTCCTCGATTTCCTGCTGAAACAGAGACAAGGATTCCTTTCTCTATGGCACCAAATCCAGCTATGGCAAGAGGATTATTGTACAAATCTGTGTTACGGTAACTTAGAGAGATTGAAAGTATGTCAACACCATCAGCCACAGCCTGATCTATACCTGCAAGAGCATCAGATTCCAGACTTCCTTCATTCCAGAGAACTTTATATGCAGCAAGCCTAGCACGTGGAGCCACTCCTCTTGCTGTTCCTGGAGCATATCCAAAGAATGAAACCCCGTCGACATAGTTTCCAGCAGCAGTGGATGCCACGTGTGTGCCATGACCCGTTTCGTCCCTTGCTGAATTCATCGTTATTGTGACTCCAGGATTTGCTTCCCGAACTCCCTGATTAAAGTATCTTGCTCCAATGAGTTTCTTGTTACACAATGAAGAATTGAACTCTTCACCTGCCTGGCAAATTCCCTTCCACCTTACTGGAATTTCTGTCATTCCATCATCTTTAAAGCTTGGACTTTCTGGCCATATGCCGCTATCAATAACCCCAATAATCACATCTTTACCATACTCAGATGCTGGCCATATACCTGTGGCAGTGTTCAGAGAGAGAAACTTGTAAGTATGCGTGGTGTCAGGTGTCACAATATTATCGGGGTAAGCTGAAAGGAATCCCGGTGACTTCTTCAAAGCTTCCAATTCATCTTTGGACATTACTGCACTGAATCCATGAAAGGCATAATCATATGTATATACAAGCTTTGGTGAATGATTTTGACTATCCAACGAGGTGAATCCAACTGATTTAATGGCTTCAAGAATGGAAGAGTACCAATAATGATGACTGGAAAAAGCCTTAGGCATCAAAGATTTGTCCATGTGGATAATATAAGTAGATCTTTCTGCTGAAGCCAGCAAAAAACATGAGAAGAGGAGGATTAAGAAGGACTCAATCAGCCCCATTTTTCTTTTTCTGGAAACAAGTTCTTTTGTGTACCTCTGAAGCTGATTTTATGCTGATGACAGTTGAAATTGGCTTCCTAAAATGAGCTCTCTGAATTATTACACCTTATCTTCTTCTCACGTGGCGTGGATGTCATTTTCCATATTATCTAACATGTAAAGAATCCAACCCCATGGCATAATTATTGTGATTTAGTACACCAGTTCTTTGGTGCTATTCAAAGTCACCACCGACGGGCTATCAGCGATTATGCTATTTGTATAATTGTACTTGAAAATAAGAATGATGCTATATTGTTCATATGCACATTCTATTTTACCACTTGATTCACATTTTTTACACTTGTATCTCAAATCATCTTTTTACAAAAACAACTTTAATCCAACTATTAAAAAATTGCCACCTATTCAGAGTGTAAATCAATGTGTAAAGTAGAATGTACAAGTGGTTTAATTCTTAAAATAATGGTTAATGATGTTGATGTTGTCAAAATTCGGCCACTAATTTAAAAAACAGTTTTTGGTGATTGTGATGTTGCCAAGTACGAGCTGTTGATCAATGTTGTCAAACTAAATTGTACATGTAGCATGATTCAACTATCACGATCAACTAATATTTGATAATTGTTCGCCATTTTTCTTTTACAGATTCTTAGTGAAATTTGAAGTTTATGGACCAATTCTATTTGAAGTTTATGTTTTTTTTGCATCAGAATATATAAAAAGGCTTGAGGTCCGAATCGGCTCGCTAGGCCTGCCTTTCTTTATGTCGGTTTTAAGAAAAATGTAGGCATGTAGATAAAAGATGGATTACAATACTCCTCATAACAGTGTATTGTTGGTTTAGTTGAATTTTAATACTAATAGATCATAATTTATGGGAATTGGGAAATTGCTGGAAACTCCTTTAGAGTAGTCATTATTCAACCTTTGTACTTCTCGTAATGTCGTGCCACCACTCTCTCTAATCTCCTTTTCTTCCCGTGTTAACTCCCCTCTCCAGTGCCTATGATGTGCAGTTTGGAGCGGGAGAAAGCAATCCCTTTATCCAAAAGTATAAACGTTAGAAAGCAATTCCTTTATCCAAAAGTAAAGAAAAAGATCTTTGACTAAGCAGACAATTGACACAGTGGGGAAAGAAATAAAAGCAAGGGCCCCAAGCCACCCCATCATCAGCCTTTGTTCAATTGTTTTAACAACCAAATCTTCAATTCCAGAAAAAAGTAGGTAGCGCAATGAATAATTTAAGCCACTGTTTAGGCTATATTAAAATTTTTATTCTCATTCGTTTACTCATTTTTCACCACACATTTTTCAATAAAATAATATTTTCCATCACATCAATAATTTTTCCTTCTTTTTCAGCCACATATTCCCCATCACTTCAACAGTAAATATATCTTGCAAGTAGAACTGTAGTACACTCTAATTATGCTACATGTATATACTGATATACATACACATATTGTTGTAAGA